TTACAATAAAAAGACAAGATCAGTACACACGCATCAAAAATCTTGGACTTCCGGTCATTGCACAATTCATACTGGGAAGGATTTTCTGAAAAAGTGAGCATCAAACCACCACGTTTGTTTTTCCCAGTGGGATGCGTCTATTGACTAAACCAATCTTTTCTAGTCTTTTGAACCATATCACTTTTGTTTCTGGTTCTGATATTGTCATATTTTAGTTTTGGGATTCAGACATCATTAATTGTGTGGTTGTTGGATCCTAACAGCGGAAAACGGCTCGAGAAATGTGTTTGCGAACTTCATAACTGCAAAAGTGAATCAGATGTGTGTGACTGCAAACCTCTGTTCAAACTGTTTCCCTTCCCAAAGGAATTGAAAAATAGTGAAAGGTGAAGGCGATGGGCAGGATTGATCCACAGGAAGGACGAAAAAGGAAACATTTGACTGACTAAATCATCCCGAGTTTGCAGAGAACATTTTGTATGTGGAGCGTCATCAAAGTGGGATCCCGTTTGTTAAGCGAGAGGTGCAGAAGACAAACAGACTGAGCTGCACTTTCTTGTTCTTGTGGTTTTACAGCAACATCACGTCTTGGTCTCTTTGCAGTGGAAGGTGTTTCTTGGTGAACAGTTGGTGCCTTTCGCTTTGGCGTTGACTTTTTAAATTCGTAACCAAGGTGGAGCGAGGGATTGGGGTTTTGCTTTGGAGCTCCACATACAAAATGTTTGCTGCAAAATCGGGATGATTTAGGCAGTCGAAGGTTTCCTTTTTCATCCTTCCCGTGGATCAATCCTGCCCATCACCTTCACCTTTCACTATTTTTCAATTCCTTTGGGAAGGGAAAAAGTTTGAACAGAGGTTTGCAGTCACACACATCTGATTCCCTTTTGCATTTATGGAGTTCACAAACACATTTCTCGATACGTTTTCCGCTGTTAGGATCCAACAACCACACAATTAACAATGCCCGAATCCCAAAACTAAAATATGACAATATCAGAACCAGAAACAAAAGTGATATGGTTCAAAAGACGTGAAAAGATCGACTTTGTCAATAGACACATCCCACTGTAAAATCAAACATGGCGGTTTGATGCTTGATGCGTGTATTTGATGGGGAAAAAAAAAGTGTTCTTTCAGTCCAAACATGGAGGTGAAAAGTGTTTGTCATTCCTCACTTTTGTCTGTGGACCTCCTCCTCTTCCTGATTGGACTCTGAGCAGATCTATCGTCTCAAAACCCTAACCCTGTACTTTCAGTTTGCAGTAGAAAAGGGTTTGGTTTAGTTTTCGATGTTTTCCTGTGTTTTATAAGGACAAACATAATCAGGTAAAGCCTGGGTCTGTATCAGTGATAAAAGTGAGCGCCGCGGCCGGTCAGGTCCCTGTGGTCTCCCATTTCCTACAGACCCTTTAAAAGTTTGTAAACAGATCCATCCCAAACAGCGGAATGGAGGAAACTGGAGGCAGAAGTGCAGTGGAACATAATGTGTTTTAAATGAGGATTTTGAGATTAGGCAGAAATGTGTTTGTAAAATGATGAATATGATTACTACATGTGAGTGATACGAGAGCACAGTGAGAGAACGTTTGTACTTTCACTTATTTGTTTTTGAAGCCATTTTGACAGAAGAGACATTATTGAGAACAAACAGTTTCACAATTTTGGTTTCATTATTTGTTATTTCTTTTTATTGTATTCAGTTATTTTGATGTTGTCACTGTTGTGCACGTCTGTGGGGAGATTAGATGTTGAAATCCCTTTAGTGATTGCATTATATTACATTACTGTAAAAAGCCCGGCTTCAATCACACGCCTGTATAAGCAGAGCTGTATATTGCTGTGATTATCTGGTAGATACCATCTCTGTCTCCTGGCTTTGATTCGGATGCGGTGCAGGGCGTGTGTGGAGTTTGCATGTTCTCTCTGTGCTTAATCTGATCTCAGTGGGATGATCCTGGTTAAATAAAGGCCAATAAATACTGTATATTTGGGACTATTAGGTGCACTTAAAATCCTTTAATTTTCTCAAATCGACTGTAGGGGGACTAAGGAAAGGGTCCCTTAGTTAAAGGAGAGGTCATTGATATTGACCAGACAGAATTTCATTATCAAATATACAAATGAGTGTAGGTTGCTCTTAACTGGTGTCTAAAGATCTGAGATTAGGCACAACTTTAAGGTTTATCTAAAGTTCTGTGTTGAGTCTAAATTGATAAAGTAAGCCATTCTGTGACAGTGCACATACAACCCAGGGAGCGTGGACATGTCCAGTCACCATGTGGTCCTCACAGGTCCAATGAAGGTTCAAGTTTCTCAGGACATCAGTTCTGAAGAATCAAACGCGATGAAATAGACGAACGCCACGTGATCTAAACAATACTTCAGCTTCAGGTGGCCTCAGGCTGAGGGAACGCCGTATCCTCTATTACAGAAGAGTGGAGGACACCTGTCAGTGTCCACGAGGTCTGAACAGCGCTGGTCACAGATTAAGGCTCATCAATCAATAAAACTATTGTCTGCAAAAATGCAAATATTTAAATTCAGAAAAAACAAAAATGCACAGCTTTAAACGGAGGGAGAACTTCTCAGGCATTGTCCCTCCTGTTCAGCGCTGGGTCTCTACTCCATTCTCTACTCGACAGTGCACCTTATAATCTGGTGTGTCTTATGTATTAATTCTGGTTGTGTTTACTGACCTCGAACTGATTTGATGTGCTACACGGCGCTCAAAAATCTGTCAAAATGTTTTAATATGACTTTGGTAAACTACGAAGCCACACTGAGTGATGAATTGTCAGAGCATTACAGCTACTGTAGTCAGGAGCCTCATGGAGACAGAAGGTGACCACATCAGTGCACGAGGAACGAGCTGTTTTTTCAGTGTTAGTTTCGTGACTGTAATACATAAACAAATGTGCGCAAAGTTGCATTAAACACATTATTATGTACGTATTATGTATATTTGAATTGTCCTCATAGGAAATAAAAAAACAAACTTAAATGATCCACCCACATTCACATTCATAATCCACATTCACCAAGACAGAGAGGAAACGCCGGGTGAGTTACACCACGATCTGTAAATGGATCATGGACGCCTGGGCTAAGGATCAGACTCAAGTGTCCTCATTTGTTTCTCTTAATGCTCCTTATAATCCGGTGCAACTTATGTATGAAAATAGACGAGAGAATTCAACATTATTGATATGCACCTTATAGTCCAAAAAATTTGGTAAATAAACATCTGCTCAAAGATATGCTTCACTTTGTAACAAAAAGTCCATATCCATAAAGCCTTGGTTTCAGCACCTTTCAGACTCCCACAGCTCTTCTGTGTTGTGTTCACTCACTCCACACTCTGTGCTTGTCACCTACGTTTGGAGCCAGTAAGTAAAACTGACAACCTCACAACATCCATATTAGGTTTGTTGGCTGAAGTGTCCCCTCTAAGAACTCAACAAGTACTGGTCTGAGTGGGAATCCATCCTCTGACCTTCCTGATGGTCGACTCTGCTGTGATTACTGAGTCACTGTGGCTCAGTCCTCCCTCCTCCACGCTCAAGACGAACATAGAATTTTTAGTTTATTCTCCACATTTGTGCACAGCCTTATCTAAAGAGAGATAGAAGACATCCTCCCATCCCTGATAAACTCTAGTCTATGTTATTAGGTTATTTTTTCAAACCAAGACCAAGAGAGATGTTTCTGTGTCGTGTCAGTCAGCTGATTTAAACAGGTTTTGGTGCTGTCTTCCTACTGGTGGAGGCAGGATGACAGCGCCACCTGCAGTCCGACCTCCTCAGGACAGTATCCCAGGTGTGTGAGAGTAAAAAAGCCCCCTCGTCCCGGTTTATAGCCACGTAGGCCTTTCGATTGACTCTTTAATCTTTTCTTTGTCATTATTATTAGTTTGTATGACCATAAATGAAAACAAAAAATTTAAAAATCCTTACATTTTTTTCATTCTCATTATGGTTTATTTTGTACGATCGTAAACAATAAACTTTTGTGCGATTGTTAACATTATTAGTTTGTACGACCATGAAAGGACAAAAAAAAAAAAAAAAAAAACGTACATTGTTCATTCTCATTTTGCTTATCTGTAAGACAATAATAAAATACAATACAAAAAAAAAAAAAAATGTTATAATTATATTTAGTATGCATAGTGTGTAATTTATTTTGCTATGTCTAAATAAATATGTATATATATGTAAAAAAAAAAATATTGAATTTTTGAAACTATGTAATGAATAGGGGTGGGTTAATATATGTTTTTTTTTTTTTTTTCTCCTTTTTGAGAAATGTGCTTTTCTGTTGTTTATAATTTATATGTAGTATGTGTATGATTGTTTCTCTCTCAACAAACACTTGAAATAAAAACAAACAAACAAATCAAATCAAATCCTGTCTCCACTAGTGAGCAGTCGAAACTAGGGGTGTGCAAAAATATCGGAATATCAATATATCGTATTGTTTAATGTGACGATACAGTATCGATATCGTGGGCCGCTGTATCGATATATCACCAAGAGTATTTTTACGTGTGTTTTACTAAATTATTTTGTTACAGTGCTACAGTTTTGTTGCTTGTGGAGTGAAAGGAAACTCATTTATGCGACACATTTGACATTTTCACTGTTTTGAGGATTAAAATGTTTGTGTTTCATATGATCTTTGCACAAGAAGTGGTTTAACAAAGACTTTTAGTATCACAGACATGATTTAGCCTTTATTTTTTATTGAATTGTATCTAATCGATTTGAAATATATCATATCGAATCGAAAGTGCACTGTATCAGTATATGTATCATATCGTGGCCTGTGTATCGAGGTATGTATTGTATCGGCAACTTCTTAATGATACCCAGCCCTAGTCGAAACTATCAGGTCTGAAAAAAAAACTTAATAACATCAAAAGACCAAATGAACGTCACTGGACTAAACACTGGTCTGTTTACAGTCCCTGGTCCTTACAGTTCTGCCTTCTCTCTCTCCAGGTTCATGTGGAGGATGTCCGAGTGGAGCGAGTGCCGTGTGGACCTGCTGCTGAGCCAACAGGACCGTCGCCGTGGTAACCTGACGGGTCTGTGTGGAGGGGGCCTGCAGACGAGGGAGGTCTACTGCGTCCAGGCCAACGCCGAGGTGCTCACCTACATCAGCCAGTTACAGGAGAGGGACAGAGGTACGGCTGCTTTCTCTTTACTCACCTGCAGGGGGCGTATGTCTGCTCACTCTTTACTCACCTACAGGGGGCGTACATCTGCTCTCTCGTTTAAGTGCCTTCAATGAGTTTGGATTATTGGTTAATTTTTTTGTTTTAGCTATTAGAGGTACCACACTGATTTTTTTTTTTTTTTTCCACCATCATCATTAACTATTCTCTTACTTTGAGTATCTAGCCTTAACCTATATGGATCCATGCAAAAAAAATACACTATTAAATGACAAAACTTTACAACTTTACTTTACAAATATGTGTTTCTCCCTCAGTTCAGATGGACGTGATTGACAGGTGGATTAACCAATCAGGGCCACACATGGTCCTTTCGTATCAGAACAAATGAGATAAAGGCTGTGGACTGAACAACTAATGTTTGTAGAATCAATGAGTGTTGCACTAAAGTGTGTTAAAGTGGAACAAAACACTGAATCTACTTTTTTTTTTGCTACTAAACTGGATATGATATTTTAATAACTGAATAACTGAAAATGTTCTTCTGGAAGAATAAATCCTACGAACACTCGCAAGAACAGAAATTCTACTGTTTTAGAATATTATCACTCTGATAATGCAACAAAAAATTCTAATTCCTCCATAATTGTAAGTTATATATTTTCTTAAATTATTTCCTAAATATATGACTATGTGATTCAATAACATTTATGAGGTGTTTTTCTCCAGGCTGCATTGAGCCTCAGTCTGTCCCAGCCCCAGTGCCTCCATATGGGCCTCTGTCACAGCCCTGCGCCTGGTCACTCCTCATCACCCCTCATCACCCCCATGACCAGAGCACACTCTTATGCACCCCCACTCTAGCCCTGCTCCCTCGCTATTTACTGCAGGTCCAAGATCGGGAAAAGCAGGATAAATACGTCAAAACTTATTTCAGTAAGTTTATGACTTCAGTCTTCCTCCCTGAGTGTGTTCATGTGAGTTTGGACATTTGAAATCAACGCTGAAGCAGTAAAACAGCTGTAATCTGTAGACGCTCCACCTGACCTCTTCATCACTCTCTCCCTCGCACTTTCACACGTCATAATGCCAAACCCATACTGGCCATAACTGGAAGTTCACAGGGTTTTTCTAAACAAATACATATTAATTTTCTATGTAAATGAATAGTAAATGAGCGTCTTGGTGAATGTGGCGCTCATTTACGTTGGGTCTTGGTGAATTTGGCACAACTGTTACTTAAGGAGGAATTTGGATGCGTACGAACACTTTATGAATCTCTTAAAGTGGAAGTTATGAATATTTTTTAAGAAAATATTCATGAATAAGGCCAGTGTTGGGAAGATTACTTTTAAAAAGTATTCCCCTACAGATTACAGATTACATACCCCAAAATGTAGTTTGTAATGGAATCCATTAAATTACTTAAAGTGAGTAACGTAATCTGAATACTTTGGATTACTTGGTTTGCTGTAGAGAAGCAAAAAGGAGGATATCGTAACATAAGATGTTTTGTCTGCTAAAAGAAAATAAAAAGACTTTACTTAACGAAATTAAATATATTATTGATAGAAGACGAGGAGACATGGTCCATGCAGCATGGTTTAGTCCTGTTAAATCCTGTTTTTAGACCTGGTTTAAGCCTGGTTTATTCCTGGTTTAGACCTGGTTTTAGTCCTGGTTTTAGTCCTGGTTTAATCCTGGTTTTAGACCTGGTTTTAGACCTGGTTTAGTCCTGGTTTTAGTCCTGGTTTAGTCCTGGTTTAGTCCTGGTTTAGTTTCCGGCAATGAGTGGAATTACGAAAAAATTAAAGAAAAAGGGGGATATAGCCCAAAATGTGAAAACGGGAAAATCCCGCCATCTAATCCATTTATTTCAACAAAGTAACTGTAATTTAGTTACCACTCACTGAAACAGTAACTCTAACTGAATACAGTTACTCATAATTTGTACTCTGATTACGTAACTCCGATACATGTAATCTGTTACTCCCCAACACTGAATAAGGCCCAGTGTCTGCCGCTGTTCCTAGTCCTTTAGATCATTTTAGTGAAAACTTTGTGTTCAAAACAGTAAAGCGTGTGCTGCCTCTAGGGGCCACTGCAGTTTCAAGTACTATGTGACATCATGTAGAACTGAACTGATTTGATGTCTCTGATACAAACACCTGGTTGGAGGGGCGGAGTTTGAAGTGTAGATACCTGTTAGATCAATCACACTGTTGCTCATGTATCCAGAACCCGACCCTCCTCCCTCCAGGTACTACTGTAGACTCACCCGCCTCTCTCCTCCTCACCCTCTTTTCCTCACCCCCGTCTCCTCCTCACCCCTGGGAGTCCTTGTCTTTGCTCTGGTTCTTGCAGCTGGAGCGTCTCTCTCTCTCTCACGCTCCTCATCACAGACTCCTGCACACATCACACATTACACCTGTCACCAAACATGGCACCTGACACATCCGCACAATCCTCCAGTCAAAGTGTGAACATCTGATCCAAGACGCCCCCTCCGAACGCTGCGGTCTCCAGGTGGTTTTCAGGCAGACTAAAGGCTCCCTCACCGCGCATTTTTCTAATTAGGAGCACAGTCTTCGGTTTGGGTCAAAGCAGATTTTCAAAACGATCATATCTGCTTTCATTTCTTCCATTTTAGTATATTCATGATGGTTATTAAGGAAGACTTTTTTTCCGGTGTTTAGTATTGAAGTAGACATATTGTGCTTGTGTTCTGCTATATAGATAGAATCCATGACAACTGTTGATCATTGTTATAATTTAGATATGTTAAATCACAAGATATATTTAAAATGACTTAAAAGAAACAAGTTCACCGACTTCCTAAGGTCCTGTTTACATGAGAACGTTTCCAGGTAAAAATGACAAAATATTCTATCGGAAATGTCATTTGTTTAGATCAGGGGTGTCCAAACTTTTTTCATCAAGGGCCACATATCTAAACACAGACGAAGCAGAGGGCCGATCGAGGGCCGTAGACTGATGCTCAGTACAGGGAATAATTGAAATGTGTGCATGTTTAACACGTTAGAATGAGCCATCAGACTTTATTCATGCTAAGATCCTTAAAATCACAGACAAAATATTAAATATTGGCTTTATCAAGGTACATTTCCAAAAAACTTGCAGTAAACTTTTTTTTTTTTTAATTGATGCAAAGTCATTTGGGCCAATTCACCTGGAAGTCTGAGGGCCAAGAAAAATTTGTCTGAGGGCTGCATTTGGCCCCCGGGCCATAGTTTGGACATGCCTGGTTTAGATGGTGATGGCATTTTTGGAACTTAAAAACACACAAATCTGAAACCTCCCTCCAGAGTGGAAAAGTTGAATACACTCTGCCGTAGTGTTTCTGTCTACACTGTCCAAGACTCAAAACTCTGCTCAGATCTACTCACATCGTGTATACGTTTATGTCACATACATCACCACCGAGCCGTCTGACATGCACACACAATCCAAATCCACACAATTTTGCGCCACTGTATCCACACAGATTTCCTCCTGAAAACTCTCGCCTAAACCAAGAATAAAAACTAAAGATGCAACGCCACTTTTGCGTCTTCTGTTCAGACCGACATCATATAAACGTAGCCTAAGTAGAAAACCGCAGTGCCCCGTGGGAGCTGATCCAGCCTGCAGATTTTTTCTCATTTTCTCCAAAATACGTGACGCTGCCAAATCGCCAATTAAGAAAATAAAACTGGAGAACAAAGTAAATACAGAGCAGTGTGATAAGTGATAAATATAACCTTAACATTCTGTTGTGAAATTTCTAGACTACAACAATAAAAGAACTTAAAGTTGTCTTAAATCAAGGAGTCTGATTTATAAAAGCAATTGTACGCACAAACATGACAGTGTGTCGTCTTCCCCTAAACTGAAACATAACAATGCATATAGAGTATTTATACCTCATAAAGAGGCATAAAGCACTGAAAGAAACACACAGGATAAGGACAGGCCAACACAAGGCAGGAGCAGCAATCAGTAACATAACAAGTCGGAACTGGTTAGGACCGATAGAAGCGATAGATCGTGTGGTGGCACGAGGCCAATGTGACCTACACAAGATAACAAGATACTAGTCAGCTATAAATAGGATAACAAGATTACAAGTTACGAGGTAGACAGTTGTAGTTCCAGGGATTGTCAATGAACAATCCACAATCAATACACACATCAAGAATCTCGGACTTCCGGTCATGGCGCTCCACATACAACATGCTCGCTGCAAACTCGGGATGATTTAAGCAGTCAAAGGTCCTTTTTCGTTCTTTCCGTGGATCAATCCTGCCCATCACCTTCGCCTTTCACTATTTTTCAATTCTGTTGGGAAGGGAAACAGTTTGAACAGAGGTTTGCAGTCACACACATCTGATTCCCATTTGCATTTATGGAGTTCGCAAACAAATTTCTCGAGCCGTTTTCCACTGTTAGGATCCAACAACCACACAATTAATGATGTCCGAATCCCAAAACTAAAATATGACAATATCAGAACCAGAAACAAAAGTGATATGGTTCAAAAGACTAGAAAAGATCGGCTTTGTCAATAGACGCATCCCACTGGGAAAACAAACATGGAGGTTTGACGCTCACTTTTTTGGAAAATCCTTCCCAGTATGAATTGCACAATGACCGGAAGTCTGAGATTCTTGATGCGTGTATAGAGATTATCGATGTAAATATTCCCGTAACAGTCTCATATTACACTATTTATGTTCTAATCTTGTTTCATCATCTCAAACACACTTGAAGTTTGTTTTTTTCATTCACACAAACCCTGCATATTTAGGCTGAGTTCTTCTCCCAAATAGAAAACACCTTGTGATGTCATGTGGTAATACAGGAAGTGCTCCACTGTGTTTTTAAACTCCATACACCCTCATTAGAATCATTCAGATAATTGCCGGCCTCTACTGAATTAAAGATTTGTCTCTTGAAAACTACCACTTCATGACATCACAAAATAGAACAGAGCATTTTCAGCTTTGAAG